ATTCTGCATACCTCACTTCTTTGGTGCCCTTTCTTCCTTCAGAAAGAAAGGCCCTGGGCCATGGTCCTCAGATTTCAGCTCAGAATAAACTCACCCAAATTTTCATTTATAGATTGGTTATGGATTATTTTTGTCGACAAAGCCTTGAAGAGACTGTTGTTGGAAATATGGATGTTAAGGGACATTCTGACGAGGTCTCAGGTGGAAATGAGGAAGAGGTTATTGGAATCTGGAGAAAAGCAATCCTCGTTACAAAGTGGCGAAGGACTCGGCTGGACTGTGTTCTAGTGTTTCATGATGGTAGAACTTGTTGAGTGACAGACTTGGATATTTAGCAGAGGATATTTCTAAGCAAAGTGCTGAAGGAGTGGCCTGGTTTTCCCTTCATGCTTATGGTAAAATGTGAGAGGACAGAGAGAAATTGCAGAAGGAATTGTCAAGCAAGAAAGAATGAGAGAATTTGGACACTTCTCCACCATCTCAGCAGAAGCCAGGAACTGAGATGGGGTTGCACCAGCAAAGACTCTGCCAGCTGGGACTAAAGGCAACAGAGATGGGACAGACGAAGGAAGGCTGTCAGACTTCTAGGATTTTACAGGACGGAACAGTGGAGATGTCCGGCTGTGGCAGGCATTATTCTTAACAAAAGCCGGAGTGACCCCGAGGCAACTCAGAGATCAGCAGACCTGCCACTCCCACCACAGGCCCAGAGCACAGCGCACAGACCATGTCAGGACACAGGGAGGAGACAGCGTCTACACCCAAGGAGAGGTGCCTCAGGAGGAACCAGCCCTGCCCACACCTTGACCTTGGACTGCCAGGCTCCAGGACAGAGAGACAATGAATGTCTGTTGTTTCAGCCCCCGCAACTGTGATGATTTGCTGTGACAGCTGAGCTGGCGGATACTGTGGATTATACTTGATGGGGAAATCCTTAGTGCCATGGATAGTTTGGAGCAAGACAGACACTTAACAGACGGGTATTCAAGTCAGCATGTGCCTGGGAGCGAGGAGGAGATGGAAGTCCCTGAGCACAGGGAGGGGGATTTCACTGAGCGCGTAGCCGGCCGACACCATAGACAGGCAGAGCTGCGGTGGTTAAGTGAGGGTTAGAAACTGTAAGCAGCAGGCAAGTATTTATCCTCAGCCCTCCTTGGTGGAGTGAAGCAGTGCATCTGGGGTCAGGCCCAAGAATTTTCGTCTGTTCACCAGGTGATCCTGAGGCTGCTGGACTCAAAGAACCACTGGTCTCTCCAACCTCACACCACAGAAATACAGAAAGTGGGATCCTGCCAGGGAAAGCCAGTTGGTTCCCTGCTCCAGGGGGCAGGCAAAATAAAAATACACAGAAATGCTTATTGGTTCCTCGAGGGTTATCACCATTGTCTTCCCACTCGCTGCCTGTGGACTATGCCAGTGAAGAGCAAGTGCAGCGAAGCACGTAAAACCCTGCTGTTGTCCCAGAGCCCTGTGGACATGTTAGTCATCATTACAACTCTCTGTAAAATAGTAGTGTGATACAGCCTGAGTAGATACTTCCAGGCATTTAGAAGGAGAAGACAGTGAAAGTCTGTATCGTATTTACTGTATTGAAAGAGGAGTCAATGTTTAAGCGACACTAGATAGCCAATTATCTAATGGCTAGATGCCAGTCAACCATTTAAGAAGAGAAATTTAATCTTGATAGGAACAGTGCCTGCGAATGGCCACACCAGCGTCTCCAGCTCTGTGATTTCTTTTAGTGCCAATTGAAAAAAGTCCGCAGACTCATGGTGATGACTCTTAAGTTCCTGCCATTTTTAGGGTGGGCAGGAGCAAAGAGCCCGAGAGACCAGGTGTTTACAGGAGGTGGGGGAAGCCTGCTTAAAAACTGCCTAGGGGAGAGGAAGCCTGCAGGAACGCTCACGTGAGTGATCCCACAGCAAGTCCCAGTGGAGGTCCCCTGAATCACCATCAGTGCCTCAGCACAACCACACACATTCACACACTCACAGAAAATCAGGACAGGCTTTGTTCGCGGTTAGTCTTCTGTTGATTGTTTCATGCAATTTTGCTGAAAAGCATGTTTTCTTTCTGTGACGCTGGCTGTGGGTTCAATGACACACCTGATCCTTGCGGCTCACAGGCTGACGATGTGGAACGCTTGCTGTGGCTGGAGCAGCGTTGTTGCTTAAGGATTTGGATGTTGACTTTGGATTATAAGTTGAGATCTGACACCAGTGTTCAAAATAAGGCAGAAGCAGCCTTTGACATAGAAGAATAAGGAGGGGTCAGCATGTCCCCAAAGGCGGGGATCATAAGACCTGTTTCTTCATTATTGCCAAAAAGCCGTGGCACTTCCCGCGGTGCTGGTGGTTTTCTTGATAGCTACATAATTGACTGACTAAAGAGAAGGAAGGACCAAAATTTTAAGGTGGTTTAGGCTCACTGGTATTGTTAAAATAAACCAGCTAATAAAATAGCTTGTTTTCATAATTGGTCCTAAATTATGAGAGTTTCCTGAGAAGCAAATATGGAGATGAGTTTTCATAATTGGTCCTAAATTATGAGAGTTTCCTGAGAAGCAAATATGGAGATGAGTTTGACAAGCTCAATGTCAAAACTCTAGTAATACAAAAGACATTTTGTATATTTGAAATATAAATTTCTCTCAGAAAATAACGAACATTTGACCTTGCAAATCTAACCCCCTGAGAAGGGGGTCTTCTGCATGGCTCTCCTGCCCACACTGCGCTCTCCTTCAGGGAAGGACATGCTCCATTCCTCCACCAGCGTCTGGAGTCACGGACCACGCCAACAGCTCAAGACAGTGGTCAGTTTGCCTCATGTGGAAAACAGGTATTTTTTAGTCTCTAGTTGTACTGGGAAGACTCTCATGAATGGGCCCCTATTTATCATCATGAGGGCATTGAACCTGACAGAAGGGATGCGTGTAAGTCCAATGTACATTAAGATGTTGTGACCTGTCACAGCTAAGTTCTCACTCGTACCCTCTGTCCAGTTAAAAATAAGCCACCCCAACAAACTGGAGGGTAAGGGCCCTGACCAAGAGAGGGACCACTGATGCTATTGACACATTTGATTCTGCTGCTGAAAACCATGGCAAACTCTGCTGAGCAGAATGGGAACAGGTCAGAAAGAAAGAAATGACTAGAATTGCCAAGAGATGGAGAGGAAGACAGAGCAAGATTTTAGCGGTAGATGCCTGTAGGCATTGACAGTGTGGGTGATTTTTGTTTCTTCTTAATTCTTTTCTGTGTTTCTATAGTAAGTGCATGTATTTCATATTCAGAAAAAGGAAATCCCATTGTGAAGTGATCTATCAGACTGGGAGCTCTCCAAGCCCACTGCTGGGTTTTTTAAAATACCTATTTGTATCCCTGGTGCCGAGGCAGGTCCTGAAGTGGAGTAGGGGCACCATGGGGTGGCCGGATGAGTGAAGAGTGGTTAATTTCTGTGAGGATTCTGGACTTGTGATCAGCCTGGAGTGGACAGGCTGTGGGCAGCTGAGCAGACAGAACAAGCAGGATGTGGGCGCTTGGCAGGCTGGCCATGGAGCTCCCATTGAGTCGGGGTTCTGAGCTGTGTCCAGGCTCTCCGGGGGAGATCAGAACTGGAGGTTTGGCTGCATGTGATGGCCAGTTAGCTAATGAGCAGAAGAAAGGGAGAAAGGGGACTCTAGGAGAGAAATCCAACCTGGGTTTTTAAGAAGCATCCACAGCTCATCAGCATTTTATGGTGATCCCTTGTTATGTGTCATGCCAACAAGACAGTAGGATGGCTTCTTGGTGGGACCCACAAGCGTGAGAACCTTTGCTTTTTGGGGGTGGAAGGAGGATTTGAGGACCCTGACTCTAAGGAAAGAGGCCCCCACCCCACGCCCCCATGCTCCTCAGTTACCATTACCCAGGTCTGCCCAGAGCAGGGCCGGCCCTCTGTGACAGCATCTCACACTTTATTCTCTTGGATTGAAAAAGGCAAACTATACAGATTTTCCTAAAATACAAGAATTTTAGGATAAGGGGGATAGATGAAGTCTCATGGTGGAGTTAGGAGAACATTGCAACACTCTCTGGCGTGAGACCCAGGGTAGAATCATCCTACCTCTGAGGCTTTGGTTTCCTTATTTTCCCTTTCATTTTTAAAAGAGATTTGAGCATTTTAAAATAGAATTAACACCTGTGCACTCGCCATCCCACCTTAAGAACTAAAACACAGCAGCAGGAACTGAAACTCTTTCCCTTCCCTTTGCCTGCCAGGCCAACCTCACCTGCCCTTCTCCCTCTGTGCAACAGAATTGTTTTCCGGGGTTTTGAATGTAACGGAATGGCATCCATCATATCGCATGTATCTGTCTTCCTGCCAGTTGCCGCAGCTGTCTCTTAGTCGACCTCTGTGCCTCCACCTGCCTCTCCTCTCAACACAACAGCCAGAGGTGTCCCTGTGAAATCTGAGCCTGGCAGTGGATTCCCATCGCACTGGGACCTGTGTGATCCTTCCAGCGAGCCCCTCTCCAGCCTCAGGACTCGCCTATGGCCCCCCAACTGACAGGCATGTCCCACACTTGTGCCCTCTTTCTGGAACAAGCCCCTTGGTGTCCACGTGGTTAAACTGGCCTCCCTTTCAGATCTTTGCTCAAATATCATTCCCCCACAGAATCCCCCTTGACCATGTCACTCTTGCTCCCCCTTCTTGCTTTATATTTATTTCCCCATGGTGGTGACTACTGTCTGGCATGCCCTCCAATAGAATGTGGCTCCATGTGGGTGAGGGCTCTGCTTGTTTCACCCACTCCTGTATCCTCAGAGCCTAAGACGGTGCTGGCATGTTGTGTTAATGTCAGCCCCACCCATCCTTGAGGCCCTCTTGTACAAGTCAGGAATGAAAATCCTGTTCCACGACTCCAAAAGAGCCGGCCCTACCACCCAGAGCCTTGGGGAGAATAGGGCCACAGTGAGCTCATCTGGTGGCTGGGCTATAAATGGAACAGGAAGCTTGACTCACTCAGAAGATTTTAATGAACCAGAGACTCCTCAGACACCCAGGGACAGGAGGCACTGTGGCCCAAGGAGGCAGCACTGTCCCCTGACCTCATTCCTCAGGCTCGCCTGAACCAGGAAAAGACAAGCACCCACGTCGGAGTATCTTAAGGTGAAAACGGCTGGCCTGGCTGTGAAGAGACATGAGTTCCAGTTGCAGTTTGCTGCGAATTAGCTGTGTGGCAAGTCACATATAATCTCTGGGCTTCAGGTTTCTGCAAAAATGGAAACATCAAATAACAATACCTGCTTTTAAAGGATGTTTAAATAAAAGGTCAAGAGTGAACATCATTGTGGATTTATTTTAACTTGGTTTGGGTGCCTTTGTTAACCAGCTCCATTTGCATTTCTGACGAATATCTACCAGTGGCCTCAAATTTAATACAGGTGTTCAATAGAAATGTTTTCTGATTCTTGACGTTCGAGCCTCTTATTTCTCCACCTTCATTTCTACAATGGCGGTAGCTGAGGTCCTCTTCCCACAATGTAAACACTGATTAATTAGTTAGTTAACTTGGCAAACATTCGTTAGGAGGTGGCTGCATCCATGGATGATGTGAGCCTGTAACAAGAAGCCTCGTCCATGGAGTGGTTACTGCCTCCTGGGAGGGCACAGCCTGGAGGTGGGGTTCTTTAGAACACTTACTGCTTTCTGGAGAGAGTGCTCTCTACAGCAATGCCCAAGAGGAGTTATAGCAACGACTGTCTCAACCAGAGGGTTATGACAGACTCAACTTAGGAATACGGAGTTTGGGGCCAGAGGAGTGGTTACAACAACACAAAAGGAGCAGAAATTAGGAGAACCAGACTGTTTGGTTCTCTCATGCTTCAGTGTTAACAATTCCATGTCTGCTGTTTTGAGAACCCTCACCATTTTATATTTTAGGGCAATGTTTTTTTGGGGGGAGGTTTTGGTGAGGAAGATTGGCCCTGAGCTAACATCCATTGCCAATCTTCCTCTTTTTGCTTAAGGAAGATTGTCGCTGAGATAACATCTGTGGCATTTTCCTCTATTTTATATGTGGGTCGCTGCCACAGCATGGCTTCATGAGCAGTGTGCAGGTCTGCACCTGGGATCCAAACCTGTGAACCCCAGACTGCCAGAGTAGGGCATGTGAACTTAACCACTGTGCCACTGGGCCAGCTCCAGGGTAATATTTTTGACCACTGTTCCTTCCAGAATGTCCAGCCTGGGACTTAGTCCTGAACCACCCAAATTTCTCAATCCCTCCATCCTACTGTCACCATCATTCAGTTCGACAGACAAGTGATGGGTGAATCTGTGCTGCACCAGAAACCTGTAGAATCCCCTCACCCTCCCTTTTGGGGGTCTGGATGGACCTGTGCAATCCCAGGCTGTGCTGGTGAGATACCTGGGTATTTAATGAACTCAGAGTGTACAAGGCATCACAGAGTTTTATGTATAATTGACCACTTGGATGTTCTGGTCTCATACAACACAGGGTTCTAAAATATCAATGTTGAACTTGGTGGGACCTCTGTTATTTTCAGAATTACAGCCAACTTTTCTGTTATCTATTGCTTGTACAAAAGGAGGAAAAGGGATTGAACTCTAATGAAAGGACTGAAATTATAGATTAAAAAATCACACAAATATCTCTATACCTCATTTTAGGATATTAGCTATTTCATCCATCCATCCATTCACCCATCCACTCATTCATCTGTCCATCCATCTGTCCATCCATCCATCCATCCATCCATTCACCCATCCATCCATCCAATCAGTATCTGGTGATTGTTTATCATGGTAGAAAAAAATCATCAGAAAGACCCTTTCTGGCTCTAGTATTCTATTATTATATGGACACAGCACTGTTCGGCTACTGTGAGGTATACTGAAATACAAAGCATGGACATTGCCCCCGGGTTTAAAAGCTGACGTGGAGCTCAAAATCTAGTTTACAAGCAGACAATGGTTGATATTACTGAATTCTGGGCATTTAAAATTGCAAACTCTCCCATACACATTCTTATTTAAATCATGATTGCTAGCAAAGGAAATCAAATTATATCACCAAGGATAACGTCTTGCATGTTGTTGGTGTTGTAAACAACAATGGTAGCAATAGCTAACATACATATTAGTGGCTTTCAGCCGTGGGTGATTTTCCTTGCCAGGGACATCTGGCAATGTCTGGAGACATTTTCAGTTGCCATACATGGAGTGGAGGGCTTAGAGCTACTGGCATCCAGAGGGCAGAGGCTATGAATGCTGCTGAGCATCCTGCAATGCACAGGACCGCTCCACAGCAAGGAAATGTCCGGCCCCAAATGTCATTAGTGCCAGGTTGAGAAACCCATACGTGTACATGTGTGTGCACGTGTGCATCTAAACACTGACTGTTTACCAGGCACTTCTCCAGGCACTGGCACATGTAACCTGATCTAATACAATAGTCGTGTGAGGGAGGCCTATGAACTGCCTGTGGCTGCTGCAGAAAACTACCATGAACCTTGTGGCTTAAAAGAGCTCAAATTTATTATCTTACCATTCTGTAGGTTAGAAGTCTGAAGTCTCACTGGGCTAAAACTGAGGTGTCAGGAAGGCTGGTTCCTTCTGCAGGCTGCAGGGAAGGATCCATTCCTTGCCTTTTCCAGCTTCTAGAATCTCCCGCATTCCTTGGTTCGTGGCCTTTCCTCCATCTTCAGAGACAGTAACATCTCATTTCTTGGACACTTCTTCCGTGGTCACATCTCTCTCTGAACTCAGTGGGGAGAGATTCCCAACTTTTAAGGACTCATGTAGTTAGATTGGGCACGGATAATCGAGAATAATCTCCCCATCTCAAGGTTCTGTATAACTTTAATCACATCTGCAGAGCCCGTTTTGCAATGGAAGGTGACATTCCCAGTTTCCGAGTATCAGGACGTGGACATCTTTGGGCACCATAGTACTTCCTACCAAGCGGGTGTTGTTTTTGTCTCCAATTTTATGAAGAGGAAACTGAGGTACAGAGAAGCAAAGGACCCGTCTCAGGCTCTGCAGCTGTTGAGTGGGGCGCGGGGTCCCAATCCAGCCCCCTGGCTCCAGAAGGGCTCCTGCTCACGAAGTCAGACGTCAGACAAAGAAAGGTACAGATGAAACAAAGAGCAAACTCCGAGGGTCACTTGCGTTGAGTCTTCTTGAGCGACTCCTGGATAGTAAGAGGCTAACCAGTCACAGGCAGGCAGAAGGAAGAGAAAGAACAGGGGTCTGAGGGATCCACAGAACGTCTTCACCTTTGCCGTGCTGTCCCCGGCCTCCCTCTCTGCCCCCTGGCTGCTACCCCGACCTCTGCAAGCTTAAGGTTCCAGTGTCCTGTGAGATCCATGTTCATTCTCTGACAGAGGTGCTCATGGCACGTGTTTTATTCATGATGAGAAAGTCGTCTCTGGGCACAGGGCCATGGGAGGCGATAGCCTTCTAGGCCTCGAGCTGACCTCCTTGGGGCAGGTTTAGAGCGTGATATCTGGGAGCGTCTGCAGGGTGAGAAGAGGGCAGATTCTCCCCTGTACCCTCCCTGCATCCCCTAACCTATGGACAGATACCAAGACCTCTGGCTCCCTTTCTTTCCCCTGAGCAAGCACACTCAGCTTCCTGCCTCTCGCCAGCAAGTGTGTGGCCCGTAGGCTTGTTTCCCAAACTCTCTGCTCCAAAAGTGTTTCAAGGCCCTGAGGCTGCATAGCGGGCCTGTGTGGTAAGCGCCAGCACCTGTGACAACTTTACCTCCCAACACTCCAGAGCGTGTGGGTGACCGGCAGCTCCATGACACATGAGGGGGCCCTCGGAAAGCCCTCATGAGACCGCCACCATTTATGCCTGACCGATGTCCAGCACCGTAACAGCTGATTAGCTCTGGCATAAATATATAACATCAGAATAAGTAAACTCTCCACATTCTCTGTCTTATTCACCACATGCTCCGTCAATGGACATTTCCGGATTGATACAAAGTCCAAAGCACGACGCTGTGAAGCAGCTACTGTCCCTGCCTTCAAGGAGCAAATGTGGGTTGGGGAAGACGATGCCAAACCGTCACAATGCTGTGTGCCATCAGTGCAAGTGTGGCAGATATGCCCGCCTTCTGAGGTGCGGGAGAGAACACTGGCCAGGAGGAGGAGGTGTTGACAGATTGTTGGAATCCCGACTGACTAACGGGAACTTCCTCTGCCACCCCAGCGGAGGGCCAGGGTGCTCACTGCTGGGAGGGGCGAGCTGCGAAGGGGGAGCGATGGGCAGGCGCGGTCACCCGTGCTTCTTAGGCAGGACTTGAACTGCAGGGGAGGAGGAACTGAGGCAAGGGAGGCGGTGATGGACTTGGGTAGGAGAAGCCTAACAGAGACTGTTGTGTTAGTCCCGGTCAGAAAGAATGAGCGTCTGGACTGGTGCCGTCCCATAGGAATGTAACTTGAGCCACAGCTGTAGTTTTAAGTGACATGGTAACCACGTTAAAAAAAAGAAACAGGTGTAAATTAATTTTAATAACACATTTTATGCAACCCAACTAACTAAAATATTATCTTTTCAGTGTGTAATCAAGATAAAAATGATGAATGAGGTTTGTATACCCTTTATACTAACTCTTCCATATGAGGTGTGTTCCCACATTCACAGCATGCGATTTGGACTAGCCACATGCCCGGTGCTCAACAGCCCCTGGGCCAGCGGTCCAGACCAGGACGGGGCCAGTGAGGCCGCAGAGGAAGGAAGGAGCACATTCTTACCTACTACGTGATTGAAGAGGTGGATGCAGAGGGTAATGGAAAGGGAGGAATGGGACATGATCCCAACCTGAGAGATTGAGGAGGCATATGGACAGTCTTTTTGTGTAGGTGGTGGGTCCTGAAGATGAGATTGATACCCCGAACCTTCCACCCTCCACTGGGTACAAACCCCTCGACAGTGGCAGGTTCCCAACCTGGGTGTGTTGAACCCCCGAAGGAGCTTTACCAAATTGCCTAATCTGCCCCCAGAAAATCTGATCTGATTGTGCTGGATGTGGCCTGGGCATCAGGGTTTAAAATGCTCCTGATGATGACTATACGCAGCCGAGTGTGAGAGCCTCTGTGTCAGAGCATCCAGCACCAGGAGCAATCTGGGGAGTCCGCTCAGCTCTGCCCGCCGGACCTCCCCTTCTCGAGACCACCATTCTGCTTTGCCCATAACTTCCTTATTTAATTCATTGTGTTTTCTCCTGTATTCTTGGATTTAGGTGTCTATCTTACCCCACAAAACATTTTTGTTTTCTCTTCAAAAACCTACTTATTATTTTTGGGGGCTGCCCCTGTGGCCGAGTGGTTATGTTCGCGCTCTCCACGTCGGCGGCCCAGGGTTCATGGTTCGGATCCTGGGCATGGACCTGGCACCAGTCGTTGGGCCATACTGAGGGGGGCGTCCTGCATAGCTTAACTAGAAGGATCTACAACTAGAACATACAACTATGTGCTGGGGGGCTTTGGGGAGAAGAAGAGGAAAAAACCCTATTTATCATTTTGAAAACATAAGTCTTAACAGGTATCAGATGTGGAAAATGAGAACTTAGTTGCTAAGGGTCTTCACTCTGTGGTACAAATATGATCTTGGTGGGGATACTTCAGACAGCACAGAATGTTGGAGGTGAGTGCAGAGTAGTGCTTGATCAGTACCAGGCTGGCGCCGTGAGGCGCCCTCTGGCGTCTCAAGACTGTTTATTGACTGGCTTTGCTACTAAGTCAACTAGCAGGAAAGGTCAGGTTCACTTTGGCAGACGCATGAATTTCTGTCCTCTGCTCTGGCCTCCACCCCGTCCACATCGTGAAAAGGCGTCTGTGAACGTTGCAGTGTAATTCCTCTCACCTCCTGGGAGGAGCTGCCTGGATGCTGGCAGTTTTCCTTCTTTTCAATTGTGAGGCATTCACTCTCACATGAGGGTGTTCCTTCCAACTGCACTTCTGTCAATGAGCACCTCTCACAGAGAAAGGAGCTGAAGGAGGAGAGCAGCCCTCCAGGAGTGTGTGGCCAGACAACATTCCCACAGATAGAGGAGAGACGCTGGAGGGCACACAACTAGGTGGATGCAGGTGCGTGTGCTCTGCATTCCCCTCCCGTGACCGCAGGGCACGTGCTAGCCCCGAGGGGTGGGTCGAAGGGACCCTACAGAACGGGAAACCCTGACCTGTCAGACTGCGTGCGGCAAACCCTACTGAGACTCAGCCTTGTTCTGAGCGCCTCTGAGGGGCCTGGTGGGTTCAGAGTCTGATTTCCCAGCAATGAGCACTGAGTGGAATCAGAGATTCGAAGTAACTGCAAGATAAGGTGTCTGGAAGGCCTTTTAGGGCACACAGCCTATAACAACTAGGTTCTCCAGGTGCAGACTAGGGGCTGACATGCTGGAGAGCAGCTGTCTTTCTTGGTGCCAGGGCCTTGCCAGCATTTCTCAATGATACATTTCTGGGACAGTCCAACAATATCTGGTATCTGGAAACCTTGTTGGCCAGAATTCTAGGTGGCTGGGGGAGGGCATGACAAGAGAGCAAAGAAAAGGCCACAAGCAGAATTTGGAAGTTACTGCCAACCAGTTGGCAACTGGCTCGATCAAGACAGACCTGTGCATTCTGAGTCCTGACGAAGAGTCCATATTCACCCATAGTTCACAGTAGATTTGAAAACAGGTTGTTTAAAATGTAAAATGTAACGAGGCACATTTCCATGGTGATATGAAAATTAATAAACAGAAACCTCACGATATTGGAGTCAGGAGACCAGAGGGGGAGCTCTCACGCCCTAGGAAGAAGGCAGACACCCACGGGAAGGAAAAAGACTTCTTCTCGCCCGGCAACAGCTCAGCCAATGAGAGACTGTCACCATTCAGTCAATGACAAGCCACTACACTTCCAACTCCCATCTCCTCCCATGGACTCTTTGTTTACGATTGCCTCCCCCACTTCCTCTTCCCCCTGCAAAAGGGCTTCTCCTCCCGTGTTGCTGGGACTTGCACGTGGCTTGCCATGGTCACAGACCCCAGTTGCAATTCTTTCTCATCCAGAATAAACCCTTTTTGCTAGAGAAATAACTGCCTATTTGTTTAAGGTCAACAGTGACAACTTTGATATTTTCAACAATGCCCCAGCCTGGCATTGCCTAATCTAGCAAAGAGTTTGAAACGATTAAAAACATGGGGAAGAAGTGGAATTCTACCATAACCCCAGCTGACAACCAAACCTGAGAAGAATTTCCTTTCACTGTATGATTCAGTAGGCGGCCCTGGGCCTCAGGAAGTGTCTGGTGCTGTTCACTCCCACGTCCCTGGACAAGTGAGCCACACTTACACTCGGAGTGCATGTGGCTTTTGCAACAAGAACTCTGTCCCCTTGTTTTAATTGTCAGTGAGAATGTGAATACTGTTCTTCTGTGAAGAGGAATGCAGGGCAGCCATCCCACTACAGGGTAAATAGAGGAGGGAAGGAGGAGACGCCAGGCCCAGCATCTGGTGGAGAGGCAGTTCCTAACTACTCCATCTGTAAGGACTTGACATCAACCATTTGGGTCCCAATAGGATTGGGATGAAGAAAAAAGAAAATCCATGCTCAGACAGTGCCTTTTATTCCTCTTCTCTTCTGCTCACACAACATGTGTAAACCTATACATGTACATAAACATGTATAGACTTCTACTTATTTAATTGTAATTGGTTGTTGATATGTTTGTCTCCCCAAGTCAAGAGTCATGTCTGTTTTTTCTTTAGCAAGATAACAGTTGGACTAAATTGATAAGTCAGTTGGTGCACTAGCTTTCTATTGCTGCTTTGACAAATGACCACAAACTTAGTTTAAAACAACACAAGTTTATTACCTTGGAGTTCTTCAGGCTGTGAATCTGAAAAGGGCCTCACTGGGCTAACATCAAGATGTTGGTACAGCTGCATTCCCTCTGGAGGGTCATGGGAAGAAGGTGTTTCCTTGACTTCTCCAGATTCTAGAGCCTGCCCATATCCCTTGGCTTATGGCCTCTCCCTCCTTCTTCAAAGCCAGCAGTGGCAGGTTAAGACCTTCTCATGAGTAGTTCTATGCGAGTAGCTCTAACGCTGACCCTTCTGGCTCTCTCTTCCACTTACAAGGACCTTATGATTAATTGGTCCCATGCAACTGATACAGGATCATCTCCCTACCTTCATCTCAGCTAGTTAGCAATCCTCATTCCTTCTTCAGCTTAATTCCCCTTGCCATGGTAAGGCAATGTATTCACCAGTTCTGGGTATTACGACATGGATATCTTTGGGGGCCATTATTCTGCCAACCACATCCACCAGTATGCTTGTCCCATTGTAGGCATGCAATGCAGACTTCTTAAACAAAATAAAGTAAACAAATATACCTTTATATTCAAACTCTATTGAATTGACCTAAATTTTACCATATTGCCTCTTAACAATTGTCATTTTCTATCTGTGTTCAAGCCATCACTTTTTCCTCATCCTCTAAATTAAATCACTGTAACAGTTGCTAAAGTTTCCAAATATACTGCTTCCTGTACAATAGGGATCATTGTGTATCCTCAGCAGCAGCCTGGCAGAAGAACAAAACAACATGCACTGAGTCTGAACGTGATAATTCAGCAAACAGACGGAGGGCCAGGGCGTCAGGGGCTGGGAGGCACTGACCGCCATGAGATGCAGAGGGCTCGCGTCTGCTTCCGTTTACAGCTGACCAATTGTGAGTCCATTCCCAGCTCGGTAGATGAAGCTGAACCTGAATCGGTTAAAACCAAATGATGTTTACCGGCCTTGGGCAGTACCCTGACACTGTTGGGGTGCCACGGCCTAGGAGGTCTGCTTTCTCTTAGCTCCAATCTAGAAGTAGCTCCTCTCCAGAGTAAGTGGACTTCAAAATATTCCTCCTGCTGCCACAGCATGGCAGAATGTGAACTGTGGGACCCTGAGTGCTTGCTGAGAGAAAAAAACCTCAAAGCGACACAAAGAAAGAAAGAAAGCATCCTTCAATAACCAGGAGTGGATGGCAGGTATTGTGCAGTGCGTACTGGAAGGAAGAAAAGCTGCTTTGGGACTTCCATTAACAAAGACGCATTTAAAGTGCACTCTGAACAGGTGCGCAAGCACAGAGAGAACTTTTCTCCATGCAGCAGAAGAGCACTGGCGCAGGAAAAGAACAGTGTGTGACACGTGGAGCAGGGCTGGCTGAACCGTGATCATGTGAGAAAATGAGCAGTCAGCACTGAGCCATGACGGAATGCTCATGCTGAACACTTACAGGGCATTTTCCAAGTGCCAGGAACAGTGTGAGTGCTTGACGTAGTTTATTGCATTACTGTAATGCACTGAGGAGACTGATGGTCAGAGACGTTGAGTAACTTACCCCAGGACATACAGCTGATGGACACTGAATTCAAATACAGGCACCTGATTGCAAAACCTATTATCCTAATCACTGCCCTGTTTTTCAACAGTCACTTAGGGAAGAAAAATTGGAATCAGTATTAGAAGTCACCATATTAGTATCATTGGTTGTTGGATATACTCATCTTAGAATTAATTCTCCAAATTAGAATTAAGCTGTTCCTGGTCCTGATTTTTTAGAGTAGGTCCAGCAATTCTCAACTAATCTCTAACAATCCTTGTATTAAAGAACTGTTTGGTTATGTTTATAGATTACATCTGGCCCAAATAGACCCCACTACAGATTGTGTTCAGGAATCTACAGCACCCAGAACGTAAAGCTGCCATGGCCAGGCGCCCTTCTGCTTGGGCTGCTACGGAGCATGCACACTCTTGTTTGGCATTCACCATGGATTTGGTAACGGGTGGAACTCAGTTCACACCAAGGAGGACTTTTTCTGTAAGACCAGGAGGTAAGTCCTCCATAAAGCATGTCAGAAACTCCCTATTCTGTGTGGTCGCATGAGAACGCTGGTCCCTGTAACTCCCTTGGTCCTGACGCAGAGGCAAGACTCACTGTCTCAGCATCAGGAGAAACAGGAGTCACTGTTTGGTGTTCCAGCCTTAGCCTCTTATTCATTCAGAGTCGCTGCTCATGACCCCACAGGCTGTACTCTGCTCTACTCCAGGGCGCCCCCCAAGACTGGTGGAAGAGGCCCCCAGAGTGGTTCAGTGTTGTGGCTCCAAGCTGGTCCCAAACATGTGGTCACATGCATCCCCAAGATGAGCGTGCAGCCTGTGGGGAGATTCACAGCTGACATGCCTTCCCCACAATGCAGATTTCTAAGTAACTGAAATAACTAATTGACACTTTTACTACTTAGTCCTCTAGAAGCCCTCAGCACTGTGGGCCACTCTCTCTTCCCTTCGTCTACATATTTTTCTGTCCTGCTCTCTCTTCTTCTCCTCTGTCCATCCCCTCACCCCTCCCATGTCTCCAAGGGTCTCGGTTCAGTCCACCTGTCCCCTCATTCGACAAACTGCACCTACACACTCTTGACTCTCAAACCTGCCTCAGGAGCCTGACCACTCCTCTGAGCTTTGTGCCTGAGCTGGGTTTCAGCTGCTCACAGGCTTTCCCATCCTGGATGTTCCACTGCTGTTTCTAAGCCAAACGTCCAAACTCACTGTGGAAACCCACTTTCCGATCTGAGTTCTCCATTCAACCCCCTCTCCCTGGGCCACAGCTCCAATCACACAAGACCTGGTTCTTTTCCTAAGTCATTTTTGAATCTGCCCCCTCTTCCACTTGTGATGTCAACGCCCTCTGCAGGCTCTCGGTCCCTCCCTGGGGTCATCGCTGCGACAGCTGCACTGGCTGCAGCCCTGTCTTGTCCTCTTCCACACTAGAACCTTTCCGTGTTGGGTCATCGTGCCTCCACTGTTGCATATCTTCACCAGCTTTCTAACCGGAAGGGGGTCCTCCTCTCACCTGGCGGCTAGCCATCCGCTCTTGCTCCAGCTGCCTTTCTGGCCTCGTCGCCTGCACACCCAGGTGTGCCCTGTGCCAGCACTAGAGCATCACCTGCAGTCCCCTCAGCGTGGGGCGCTGCCTCAGCCTGTATACCTGTGCACCTGCCCAGATGTCTGCCCTTTGCTATTCTGGTCCGCTTCTGCCTCCGCCTCCAAGGAGGCCCCTAGGTTGGCTCATGGGGGAGGGGGTTTCCTGATGGTGCAGTCAGCTTCTCTTCCCTGCTGTTGCGCAGACATGCCCAGACATGCCTGGAGGAGGGCATCTGTGAGTCATTGGTTTGCAGAAACAGAGTCCTTGCAGGCCAGAACCATGTCACAGTCACTGGTTCCCCAGCCCTGAGGCTGTGCCCTGACACCCTGGGCACCGTGATGGGCGGTGGGTACATGTGTGATGCATTACTCTCTGCATCTCCCTCTATTCATGTTCTTTTCAGGAAAGCATAGGGAAAGCAAAGGAACTCACTAAGGCTATGTGAGGGGAGGGTGATGCTTATGTCCAGCATCAGGTCACTCGACACTGAATTGGTTATTACCTGACTGCCTGCCTTGATCTGCTCCTTCCTCAACCCAGATTCCATTGGTGAGGCTGAGAATGCCTGCCATTGGCTGCCGGCTGCCAGAATAGGTCTGACTCATTGGCCTCATGTCACCCTGAGAAATGCTGTTACTTGCTTTATGACGAATATCAACAAAGTCACTTTATCCAGATTCTTGGACACAGAAGTTCAGGGTCTTGTTGCTTGTGGCTGGGTGTGAGAATTTAGAGATTACATTAGCATTTGAAGGGAGGCCACAGAACAGTGTTTGAGACAACTCTGTGCATAGTCACTGTGCAAGCAGGCCATGAAACGCTCGGGACCCTGTGTACACAAAGACGAGGGTTTTATCTGTTTCTTTCTTTGGGGGAAGGACTGAATCTGGAGGGTGGAGTCCATGAACCTTTTGAGATTGGGTGCAAAAATGTATGGGAATTAGCGTATATTCATTGCTCCTGGGCAGAATCTGTGGCTTCTCAAGGGCATGTGTGATTCTAAAGATGTTAACGTTTAGAAGCCCAGGGAAGACTAAGGGGTGAAACTAGTCGTCAGCGTTAGTAGATTCGGAGAGGCATTCCCAGGTTTGCTCAGAGACTTCCAGATAATCATGAGACACTCTATTTCTGTATAAGCCCTTGGCTTGTAAGAAGTACACACGTGCCAAGAATAAGTTGTTCAGAATGTCAAATGTTCTACACCCAGATCTTGCGTAGGTAAGTTGATGACAAAAGGAAAGAAAAGTAGCTGGCAGAAGAGCAAGTGTTCAGTCACTGATCGCTGCCTTCTTTTTCTTGCTCGACAAATGTCGCCCTGGTGTTGGAGAGAGCACTTGGCTTTGCTCCTTCGATGTTCTGTTGGGGTGTGCCCCATCACACCTGGTATTTATGCAGTCTTCAGAGACCCAACCGACAAGCTGTTGAGAGCATGCCCTGTCATTCTTATTCCATGAGCACAGGATTTCACACGAGGCGGGCTGACAGGATCTACCATAACTCTGCTGTTATGGAAGGAGGTCGTGCAGCACTGACAGTAATTGAACACTTATGGCAAAGGCTGAAAGGGCAAACACCCAACTGTGTGGAAGGAGGTCCTGACTGCAAGAAACCCATAGTCTGGTGAGGAGTCAGATGTGCTGGTTACAGCTTCACCTGCTGGGGGCTCAGGTGGGAACAGACCCCCAGCGCTGGGGAGTGCAGGGCGGGAACAGCTCATACCAGCTGGGTCTCAGGCGGATGGCGTTAACTGGGCAGTCTGAGTGAATGCCCAGGGCCTTCCTTGCTTGTTCAGCCCTCACTTAAATATATGGACATACTTGCTTTTGGTTCACATTTAACACTTTTCCCCTGCCCTAGCCTCAGCTACAATGGTTTTCATTAGCTAAAATTGTACTCCTAGATATTATTATTTGCACACTGTAGTTAAGAGCTCCTGGAAGTTATATGGACTAGATTTTAACTGCTTAACGCTCATAAATAGCACATTATCTTCTGTTATCTCAAGCAAGCATTGATACTGTGGAGCTAAAAAAATACAATCCTCCATGATTTGTGTCCTATTATGCATATTGGGGTATAGCAAAGTATTTCCTGTCCCCCTTAATCTGATCTATTGCTTAAAGTTAGTGGGGTTCAACTTTTTTCTCCAGATTCTCATCATAGCACATCATTTCTTTAATTCTAATGATTATAATGGGGGCGGACTGTGGCCAAAACCAAGAGGATAGATAACAATATGTATGCAGCTTATTACAAAGCAGGGCTGGTAATATGTAGGGTAGATTGGTGACTTGATTGGTGTTATCGGCAAAAGGACTGTTTCTAATAACAGATTACTGTGATTACCAAATTTTGAGTTTGTGTTTTCCTTATAGTTATGACAAAAGAGCTTTCTGGGCAACAAATCTCAAGACTTCCATCAGACAGGCTACAAAGCACTCTGACTTTCTGCTGCATTCATTGTACTGTTTGCAGCTTTGATGAGCTCCTCATAGGCCACTTTTCCCAAAAGTCTATGAATGTGACTCCCACATAGGATGGGGACTCCTGGATGTCTCCAGAATATATCTGTGGCCATTTATCAGACTCCAACACAACAGGCCACTGACAGTGTGACTGCAGCACATTGCAATGTGCGCCATCTTGACTTTTAAAGTTTCAGTGTCTGAACTTTATAAATTAGTAACTTTTAGCTGGGAAATTATAGCATGGAATGAGAGGTTCTCAGAATGTCTGTAAGAAGGATGAATATTTTCTCCAAATAGTCCTTTGGTTGTTGGGACTAAGCCAGGCTTCCAGTAGCCACTGGTGCTGTAACAGCTTCAAAACTCCAAAGGACTACCCTAAACGGGCACATCATCACATAAACTCCCAACAGCTCAAAGAGCTGACTTGTAGGGCAAACCAGATGGGAGAAAGGTCCGAGCATGTGCAGGTAGGTGGGTAGGTGCCAGGTGCCGGGGTGGGGGAGGGGGGAGGGGGAAGGGGTTCCACATGGTTAATCAGATAGATACCTTTTCTGGCCGAGCTGGTTCGGAAGAGAAAACACCAGGTAAATCACCAAACACTGTGTACACGGGAGGGGCAGCTGGTCAAGGTCCTGTGATGAGTGACTCAGCAGACGCTTGGTAACCACACACACACTCCTGCCAAACTGGGCCTTCCCTGGACAGTAAATGCAGGTTGAAGTGTTTCTGTGTGGGTTTGCCTCTTCCCCATTGACTGTTCCTCCAGGCCTTACAGAGTTCCAGAAGTGCACCTTCCTAAGGAGCAATGGAGGGGGAGAATTACACTCCATTTCTTTGTTTACAAACTGGGAATAATAAAACCTCTCTTGAAGGACCACTGTGAGGATCAGACATTGTTTATGTAGAGCAAGGTGCAGGCACATAGACTGTTACCTGTTCTCCTCGTGTGTGAAAGCGGGAACAAGGCCAGGTCACCAGTTAGTGCTCCCACAGCCATTAGGCCACAATGGTAATCTATTTTCTGTTTGCAAAAGTACAAAAAGATACAGTTTACCTCAACTGTAAAATATCATATTAACAGGCACCTCAACGGTTGTTGTAAAGATTAAATGAGTTAATGCAGTAATACACTCTGCTCACAGCCATGCAGAGTCAACAAATGTTAGCTATTGTTGTTGTTATGCAAACGCATGAGGGGTCAACACCAGGAATTTGGGGACTCGGGATTCAGCATCTTTCTGGAAATGGGGTGGGAACTTGAGCAACTCAACTTGCTGCCAGTTCCCTCCTTTGTTGGTGGTGATGGTCTTGAGCGCAGCTGTGACCCACCCAGCACACAACAGTGTCTGTTTGTCAGAAGAAATCATTTATGTAAAACAGTGACATTTAAACTGGAAACACATGCAAATTATTTTTATGTATTTTTAGGTTCCCAGCAGTCAGGGAAAAAATAGCGAATTAATTAATCAGAAAAAGTTTACAAGAGAGTTGCTCATTTGTGTCCGTGCTTATTTAAGTTAAATCTCCTGACTTAAATGAGTTGTCAGCATCCACCTGCTGCTGCCACTAGCATGGATGCTCTGGTGGCAGAACGCCTTCATCTTGCTTTATTTATGGATGTCGATGTCTTCCAAGTGCTTAGCGCAGTCTGTCACATGGTTGGAATTTAATAAACGTCTGTTGAATTGAAGTGATAATGTACTAAATTTCCTAAGAGTGTACTCCCGGAATTTCACATACCTTGTTCCTCCCCCTGCCATGGGGCACAGCCTTGTCTAAATTGTCACATACAAAAGCTTTGGGTTTGAGGAAATGAAAGAAATGCTGTTCTCTTATATATAATAAAGGAAAAACTCAGAGGGATTCCATCAAATGGTGAAGAGTTTGAATGCACACAGATGGCAGCTCTTGGGGGTGAAGTAATGAAATCAAGGCTGGCTGGTGAAGTATGACACAGATGACGGGCAGGAACTTGGGACTTGTGTCTGCAGTGAGCTGAATTGAGGCCTGTCACCGAATGTTTGCAGAACTCACTTTCTCACCTGCAAGCTGAGATTCTTGAAGAATAGATTTTGAGATATGAACTTGGCCTACTGCTGACACTAAATGTCAAAAACTTAGACTGATCAATGATAGGGCATTTGAATAACATTGAATTTCTTTCCCTTTTTCCAGGCTTTATTTTTTTTTTCATTGAGTTAATGATAGGTTACAATCTTGTGAAATTTCAGTTGTACATTAATGTTTGTCATTCGTGTTGTAGGTGCACCACTTCACCTTTTGTGCCCACCCCTCACCCCACCTTTCCCCTGGTATCCACTAAACTGTTCTCTTAGTCCACATTTTTAAATTCCTCATATGAGTGGAGTCATACACAGATTATCCTTCTCTAGCTGGCTTATTTCACTTAACATAATTCCCTCAAGGTCCATCCATGTTATTGCAAATGGAATGATTTTGTTCTGTTTTGCAGCTGAGTAGTATTCCATTGTATATGTGTACCACATCTTCTTTATCCATTCATCTGTTGATGGGCACTTAGGTTGCTTCCATGTCTTGGCTATTGTAAATAATGCTGCAATGAACATTGGGGTGCATAGGACTTTTGGGATTGCTGACTTCAAGCTCTTTGGATAAATACCCAGTAGTGGGATGGCTGGATCGTATGGTAGTTCTATTTTTAATTTTTTGAGGATCTCCATACTGTTTTCCATAGTGGCTGCACCAGTTTGCATTCCCACCAGCAGTGTATGAGGGTTCTTTTTCTCCACAACCTCTCCCACATTTGTTACTATTAGTTTTAGATATTTTTGTCATTCTAATGGGTGTAAGATGATATCTCAGTGTAGTTTTGATTTGCATTTCCCTGATGATCAGTGATGATGAGCATCTTTTCATGTGCCTATTGGCCATCCGTATATCTTCTTTGGAGAAATGTCTGTTCATGTCTCCAGCCCATTTTTTGATCGGGTTGTTTGATTTTTTGTTGTTGAGTTGTGAGAGTTCTTTATATATTATGGATATTAAGCCTTTATCAGATATATGACTTGCAAATATTTTTTCCCAGTTAGTGGGTTGTTTTTTTTGTTTCAATCCTGTTTTCATTTGCCTTGAAGAAGCTCTTTAGTCTGATGAAGTCCCATTTGTTTATTCTTTCTATTGTTTCCCTTCTGTGAGAAGACATGGTGTCTGAAAAGATCCTTTTAATACTGATGTCAAAGAGTGTACTGCCTACGTTTTATTCTAGAAGTCTTATGGTTTCAGGTCTCACCTTTAGGTCTTTGATCCATTTTGAGTTTATTTTGGTGAATGGTGAAAAAGAGTGGTCAATTTTCATTCTTTTAGATGTGGCTTTCCAGTTTTCCCAGCACCATTTGTTGAAAAGACTTTCTTTTCTCCATTGTAGGCCCTCAGCTCCTTTGTCGAAGATAAGCTGTCCACAGATGCATGGTTTTATTTCTGGGCTTTCAATTCTGTTCCATTGATCTGTGCATCTGTTTTTGTACCAGTACCATGCTGTTTTGATTACTGTAGCTTTGTAGTATGTTTTGAAGTCAGGGATTGTGATGCCTCCTGTTTTGTTCTTTTTTCTCAGGATTGCTTTAGAAATTCGGGGTCTTTTGTTGCCCCATATGAATTTTAGGATTCTTTGTTCTAATTCTGTAAAGGATGTCATTGGGATTCTGAATGGGATAGTGTTGAATCTGTAGATTGCTTTAGGTAGAACAGACATTTTCACTATGTTTATTCTTCCAATTCATGTACATGGAACATCTTTCCATCTCCTTATGTCGTCATCCATTTCTCTCAGACAGGCCTTGTAATTTTCATTATATAGGTCCTTCACTTCCTTAGTTAAATTTACCCCAAAAAAATTATTTTATTTTTTTGTTGCGATTGTGAATGGTATTGTGTTCTTGAGTTCTTTTTCTGTTAGTTCATTATTGGAGTATAGAAATGCTACTGACTTACGCAAATTGATTTTGTACCCTGCAACTTTGCTGTAGTTGTTGATTACTTCTAAGAGTTTTCCAATGGATTCTTTGGGGTTTTCTATATATAACATCATGTCGTCTGCAAGCAGCGAGAGTTTCACTTCTTCCCTCTCTCTTTGGATGCCTTTTATTCCTTTTTCTTGCCTGATTGCTCTGGCCAGGACCTCCAGTACTATGTTAAATAAGAGTGGTGATAGAGGGCATCCTTGTCTTGTTCCTGTTTTCAGGGGGATGGTGTTCAGTTTTTGCCCATCGAGTATGATGTTGGCTATGGGTTTGTCACATATGGCCTTTATTATGTTGAGGTAGTTTCCTTCTATGCCCATTTTGTTCAGAGTTTTCATCATAAATGGCTGTTGGATCTTGTCAAATGCTTTCTCTGCATCTATTGAGATGATCATGTGGTTTTTATTCCTCAGTTTGTTGATGTGGTGTATCTGGTTGATTGATTTGCGGATGTTGAACCATCCCTGTGTCCCTGGTATGAATCCCACCTGATCATGATCTATGATCCTTTTGATGAATTGCTGAATTCTGGTTGCCAAAATTTTGTTTAGAATTTTTGCATCTATGTTCATCAGTGATATTGGCCTGTAGTTCTCTTTTTTCATGGTGTCCTTGTCAGGTTTTGGTATCAGCGTGATGTTGGCCTCATAGAATGGGTTAAGAAGTGTTCCATCCTCCCTAATTTTTTGGAATAGCTTGAAAAGGATAGGTATTAAATCCTCTCTGAAAGTTTGGTAGAATTCCCCAGGAAAGCCATCTGGTCCTGGGGTTTTATTCTTTGGGATGTTTTTGATTGCTGTTTCAATCTCTTTCCTTGTGTTTGGTCTGTTCAAATTGTCTGCTTCTTCTTGAGTGAGCTTTGGGAGATTGTAGGAGTCCAAGAATTTATCCATTTCCTCTAGGTTATCCATTCTGTTGGCATATAGTTTTTCATAGTATTCTCTTATAATCCATTGTATCTCTGCAGAGTCTGTTGTTATTTCTCCTCTTTCATTTCTGATTTTGTTTATTTGAGCTTTCTCCCTTTTTTTCTTTGTAAGTCTGGCTAGGGGTTTGTCAATTTTATCTTCTCAAAGAACCAGCTCTTTGTTTCATTGATCCTTTCTACTGCCTTTTTTGTTTCAATAGTATTTATTTCTGCTCTGATTTTTATTATTTCTCTCCTTCTGCTGACTTTGGGCTTTATTTGTTCTTTTTTCTCTAGTTCAATTAGGTGTAGTTTAAGATTGCTTATTTGGGATTTTTCTTGTTTGTTAAGATGTGCCTGTATCGCAATGAATTTTCCTCTTAATACAGCTTTTGCTGCATCCCATATGAGTTGGTATGGCATGTTATCATTTTCATTTGTTTCCAGGTATTTTTTGATTTCTTCTTTAATTTCTTCAACGATCCATTGCTTGTTCGGTAGTGTGTTGTTTAGTCTCCACATCTTTGTGCCTTTCTCAGCTTTTTTCTTGTAATTAATTTCTAGCCTTATAGCATTATGATCGGAGAAGATGCTTGTTATTACTTCAATTTTTTTAAATTTGTAGAGGCTTGACTTGTTTCCCAATATATGGTCTATCCTTGAGAATGTTCCATGTGCACTTGAGAAGAATGTGTAATCTGCTGTTTTAGGATGGAGTGATCTATATATGTCTATTAAGTCCAATTGTTTTAGTTTTTCATTTAGCTCCACTATTTCCTTGTTGATTTTCTGTCTGGATGATCTGTCAATTGATGTGAGTGGGGTGTTGCGGTCCCCTAGTATTATTGTGTTGTTTTTAACATCTTCCTTTAGGTCTGTTAATAGTT